TCCTTTTTCAATGGGTAGACCTGGTCTCCTTTTTTTCAATGGGTAGACCTGTTCTCCTTTTTCTATGGGTAGACCTGTTCTCCTTTTTCTATGGGTAGACCTGTTCTCCTTTTTTTCAATGGGTAGACCTGGTCTCCTTTTTCTATGGGTAGACCTGGTCTCCTTTTTTCAATGGGTAGACCTGGTCTCCCTTTTTTTGACGGGTAGACCTGGTCTCCCTTTTTCAATGGGTAGACCTGGTCTCCCTTTTTTGACGGGTAGACCTGGTCTCTTTTTGCTCAGTGTCGCCGTCTTGTGGTTACCCTTGGGACTGCACCTCTGCAGGCCAAAAGGGACATCTTTTGGGGAGGGAATGGACACTTTGGGGGCAAAAACCAGACCAATCGCTGCTGGACACCTAGCAAATTCCCAGCCTGGACAAAAGGCATTTCAAAACACACCTGCCAAATCACCAGCTTTTCTGCCCATTGCTCCCTTCATCTTTTCCCTACTTTCTGCTTTTTGGAGAGGACTATGCTTTGGCATGGAACACTTGTGCAATGTTGGCACTTTTCCCTAAGTGGGCAGAGACGTCAGGATCTGGCATTCCCTGGGGAATGGCCTCAGCTGCCCTTTGGCTCCTGCACACCCTCCTCTGCTGCAGCCTCCATGGGCTCTCATCCTGTGCTGCTCCTTGCACCCTCCTCCCTCCTCACGGACTCCAGCAGATTGAATTTAAGAAGGGTTGAATTTAAACTTCAAAAAGATGGAAGTGCCTTCTATCTCCTTACTGATCTCTATTTCCCCTCTTCTCCCAAAGTGGAGAAGAAAAAGGGCCCAGCTGACAGGGAGCTGTTGGCTTGATGGACAAGAGGCCATCAAAGTGCAGCCTGGGCTAAAGCAGTTGGACTGGAAAAACCTCCCTTCACTGCATAGTAGAGCAATATTTTGAGAGCCATCTTTTGTTGTCTAGTGACTTAACAGACCTATGGAGCAACAGTTAAGAGGCTGTTCTTTACTCCCACTGCAAAGTGACTGAATGTATTCCCCTTTTTAGAAAGTGAATTTAACAAATACCAGCAGGTCTTGTGCAGAGAGAAAACAAAACTCCCTAGTTTTAGTAGCAAAACCTTCAGTGGAAACTGTAGTCTGCTTACAGCAGTAAGCTTCCCCCAGCAGTTTCAGCTGCCTGCCTTTGTAGCCCAGCCCCAAAGGAGAAACTGCTCTCGACTGCTCCTGAGAGAGGCAATTCACTGGAACTTTTGGTGCTCAGGAAAGCTAGTCCCTCCCCTAAGTCCTGGCTCACCTGCCCGAGCACCTAGAGTGCTTATAACCCACCTCGCTCCCTGCTTTGCATGTTCATATCCATAAAAGAAACCTCCAAGCTCTTCCTCCAGTCTGAACTGTATCTTCCCTGCATCCCCCCCAGTCCCTTACCTGTTCACGTGCGCTGCTCCCGAGCACATCCCTCGGCCCCTTCCTTGAGCGACGATCCAGGTACCTCAGGTGCTTGCCCCGGCGAGATGCCCTCACAATCACTGCTGGAGAGACTCCACAGAAAGGACTGCTCCTCTGCAGAAAATGTCCACCAAAACATGCTCCAGACCACCACCCAGCAGGGCCCACCCCTCATCATGCTCACTGGCCACACCTGAGGCTGTCCTGCCCCTGTCATCCTCGCTTCCCCCTCGTAGGGCTGTCCCGCTCCTCGTCATCCTCACTGGCCACACCTGAGGCTGTCTTGACCCTCGTCATCTTCGTGGGCCACAGCTGAGTCTGTCTCGCCCCTTGTCCTCCTCGCTGCCCACCCGTGGGGCTGTCCCGCCCCTCGTCATCCTCGCCTGCCCACCCGTGGGGCTGTCCCACCCCTCGTCATTCTCCTTGCCCCCACGTGGGGCTGTCCCGCCCCTCGTCATCCTCGCTGCCCACCCGTGGGGCTGTCCCTCACAGGGGGGGACAGAATAGCGGTTGGCCTCTCAGGCGGGCACGTGAGTTGGGGGCGCGAGCCGTGGCCGGCGTGAGCCGGAAGCGGGACCGGCGCGAGCCGGGGGTGGTGCCGGCGCGAGCCGGGGGCGCGGGCAGAGGCGGCTCGAGCCGGGGGGCAGTGCGGGAACTGTAAACGGCCGGGAATGATTCATACACCCATCAAATCATTATTAGTCGGAGCCCCGTTCCCTCATCTCTGTCCTCGTTGCCAGTCCCGGGAGCCGAGCCGAGCCCCGAGGCGGCACCGCAGCCCCCCAGCCCCTCCCGCCGGACCCCGCACAGCTCCGGGTACAGCCGGTCCCGCGGCGTCCTCCAAGAGCACCGGGAGCAAGCTGAGGGAGAATGGCGCGGGGAAGGGGGACGGGACCGGGGGGTGGGGGGAAAACCCGGACTGGATTTCTGCCGGAGTACGGAATGGGGGAAAACCCGGACTGGATTTTTCCCAGAGTACGGAATGGGGGAAAACCTGGACTGGATTTTTCCAGAGTACGGAATGGATTTCAAAAAAAAATAAAGAAGAAAAAAGGAAAAAAAAAGAAGAGAAAAGGGAGAACCCGGACTGGATTTTTCCAGAGTACGGAATGGATTTCAAAAAAAAATAAAGAAGAAAAAAGGAAAAAAAAAGAAGAAAAAAGGGAGAAAGAAGAGAAAGAAAGAAAAAAGGGAAAAAAGGGGAAAAAATGGGGAAAAAAGGGAAAAAGGAGGGAAAAAAGGAAAGAAAAAAGGAGGGAAAAAAGGAAAAAAATTAATTTGTCATAGGGACAAAGACAAGGCTTGGAGGGAATTGCAAGTTCTCTTCTGCATAGAGCATTTTGGATACATCCCAAAATTAAGTGAAGTTTATTGGTTTTGTGTGGTCAGTGAGGAACTGAGCAAAGGGCTGAATGCCTTTCTGTCCTTAGAAGAAGAACCCAATCCCAATCACATCCTTGTTCATCCCAGTCCCTTCCCAGTCCCCATCCCAATGCCACCCAAGTGCCCTCCATCCCATCCCAGTCCCCCCCAAGTGCCACCAGTGCCTCCAGTCCCCTCCCACTTCCCTCCCAGTTTCCCCTGCACCCCCAGTCCCTTCCTATTCTCCTCCCAGTGTCACTCCAAGTGCTCCCAGTGCCTCCCCAGTTCCCATACTGGTCACACTGGAGTCGTTCCCATTGCTAATTCAACCCTGACAGGTAGACCTGTTCTCCTTTTGACGGGTAGACCTGTTCTGCTTTTTTTGACGGGTAGACCTGGTCTCCTTTTTTTGACGGGTAGACCTGGTCTCCTTTTTTTGACGGGTAGACCTGGTCTCCCTTTTTTGACGGGTAGACCTGGTCTCTTTTTGCTCAGTGTCGCCGTCTTGTGGTTATCCTTGGGACTGCACCTCTGCAGGCCAAAAGGGACATCTTTTGGGGAGGGAATGGACAGTTTGGGGGCAAAAACCAGACCAATCGCTGCTGGACACCTAGCAAATTCCCAGCCTGGACAAAAGGCATTTCAAAACACACCTGCCAAATCACCAGCTTTTCTGCCCATTGCTCCCTTCATCTTTTCCCTACTTTCTGCTTTTTGGAGAGGACTATGCTTTGGCATGGCACACTTGTGCAATGTTGGCACTTTTCCCTAAGTGGGCACAGACGTCAGGATCTGGCATTCCCTGGGGAATGGCCTCAGCTGCCCTTTGGCTCCTGCACACCCTCCTCTGCTGCAGCCTCCATGGGCTCTCATCCTGTGCTGCTCCTTGCACCCTCCTCCCTCCTCACGGACTCCAGCAGATTGAATTTAAGAAGGGTTGAATTTAAACTTCAAAAAGATGGAAGTGCCTTCTATCTCCTTACTGATCTCTATTTCCCCTCTTCTCCCAAAGTGGAGAAGAAAAAGGGCCCAGCTGACAGGGAGCTGTTGGCTTGATGGACAAGAGGCCATCAAAGTGCAGCCTGGGCTAAAGCAGTTGGACTGGAAAAACCTTCCGTCACTGCATAGTAGAGCAATATTTTGAGAGCCATCTTTTGTTGTCTAGTGAATTAACAGACCTATGGAGCAACAGTTAAGAGGCTGTTCTTTACTCCCACTGCAAAGTGACTGAATGTATTCCCCTTTTTAGAAAGTGAATTTAACAAATACCAGCAGGTCTTGTGCACAGAGAAAACAAAACTCCCTAGTTTTAGTAGCAAAACTCTCAGCGGAAACTGTAGTCTGCTTACAGCAGTAAGCTTCCCCCAGCAGTTTCAGCTGCCTGCCTTTGTAGCCCAGCCCCAAAGGAGAAACTCCTCTCGACTGCTCCTGAGAGAGGCAATTCACTGGAACTTTTGGTGCTCAGGAAAGCTAGTCCCTCCCCTAAGTCCTGGCTCACCTGCCCGAGCACCTAGAGTGCTTATAACCCACCTCGCTCCCTGCTTTGCATGTTCATATCCATAAAAGAAACCTCCAAGCTCTTCCTCCAGTCTGAACTGTATCTTCCCTGCATCCCCCCCAGTCCCTCACCTGTTCACGTGCGCTGCTCCCGAGCACATCCCTCGGCCCCTTCCTTGAGCGACGATCCAGGTACCTCAGGTGCTTGCCCCGGCGAGATGCCCTCACAATCACTGCTGGAGAGACTCCACAGAAAGGACTGCTCCTCTGCAGAAAATGTCCACCAAAACATGCTCCAGACCACCACCCAGCAGGGCCCACCCCTCATCATGCTCACTGGCCACACCCGAGGCTGTCCCGCCCCTGTTATCCTCGCTTCCCCCTCGTAGGGCTGTCCCGCCCCTCGTCATCCTCACTGGCCACACCTGAGGCTGTCTTGACCCTCGTCATCTTCGCGGGCCACAGCTGAGTCTGTCTCGCCCCTTGTCCTCCTCGCTGCCCCCTTGTGGGGCTGTCCCGCCCCTCGTCATCCTCGCTGCCCACACCGTGGGGCTGTCCCGCCCCTCGTCATCCTCCCTGCCCACCCGTGGGGCTGTCCCGCCCCTCGTCATCCTCCCTGCCCACCCGTGGGGCTGTCCCTCACAGGGGGGACAGAATGGCGGTTGGCCTCTCAGGCGGGCACGTGACTTGGGGGCGCGAGCCACGGCCGGCGTGAGCCGGAAGCGGGACCGGCGCGAGCCGGGGGTGGTGCCGGCGCGAGCCGGGGGCGCGGGCAGAGGCGGCTCGAGCCGGGGGGCAGTGCGGGAACTGTAAACGGCCGGGAATGATTCATACACCCATCAAATCATTGTTAGTCGGAGCCCCGTTCCCTCATCTCTGTCCTCGTTGCCAGTCCCGGGAGCCGAGCCGAGCCCCGAGGCGGCACCGCAGCCCCCCAGCCCCTCCCGCCAGACCCCGCACAGCTCCGGGTACAGCCGGTCCCGCGGCGTCCTCCAAGAGCACCGGGAGCAAGCTGAGGGAGAATGGCGGGGGAAGGGGGGCGGGACCGGGGGGTGGAGGGAAAACCCGGACTGGATTTCTGCCGGAGTACGGAATGGGGGAAAACCCGGACTGGATTTCTGCCGGAGTTCGGAATGGGGGAAAACCCGGACTGGATTTTTCCAAGTGCAGAATGGATTTCAAAAAAAAATAAAGAAGAAAAAAGGAAAAAAAAAGAAGAGAAAAGGGAGAACCCGGACTGGATTTTTCCAGAGTACGGAATGGATTTCAAAAAAAAATAAAGAAGAAAAAAGGAAAAAAAAAGAAGAAAAAAGGGAGAAAGAAGAGAAAGAAAGAAAAAAGGGAAAAAAGGGGAAAAAATGGGGAAAAAAGGGAAAAAGGAGGGAAAAAAGGAAAGAAAAAAGGAGGGAAAAAAGGAAAAAAATTAATTTGTCATAGGGACAAAGACAAGGCTTGGAGGGAATTGCAAGTTCTCTTCTGCATAGAGCATTTTGGATACATCCCAAAATTAAGTGAAGTTTATTGGTTTTGTGTGGTCAGTGAGGAACTGAGCAAAGGGCTGAATGCCTTTCTGTCCTTAGAAGAAGAACCCAATCCCAATCACATCCTTGTTCATCCCAGTCCCTTCCCAGTCCCCATCCCAATGCCACCCAAGTGCCCTCCATCCCATCCCAGTCCCCCCCAAGTGCCACCAGTGCCTCCAGTCCCCTCCCACTTCCCTCCTAGTTTCCCCTGTACCCCCAGTCCCTTCCTATTCTCCTCCCAGTGTCACTCCAAGTGCTCCCAGTGCCTCCCCAGTTCCCATACTGGTCACACTGGAGTCGTTCCCATTGCTAATTCAACCCTGACAGGTAGACCTGTTCTCCTTTTTTCAATGGGTAGACCTGTTCTGTTTTTTTTGACGGGTAGACCTGGTCTCCTTTTTTTGACGGGTAGACCTGGTCTCCCTTTTTTGACGGGTAGACCTGGTCTCCCTTTTTTGCTCAGTCTCGCCGTCTTGTGGTTACCCTTGGGACTGCACCTCTGCAGGCCAAAAGGGACATCTTTTGGGGAGGGAATGGACAGTTTGGGGGCAAAAACCAGACCAATCGCTGCTGGACACCTAGCAAATTCCCAGCCTGGACAAAAGGCATTTCAAAACACACCTGCCAAATCACCAGCTTTTCTGCCCATTGCTCCCTTCATCTTTTCCCTACTTTCTGCTTTTTGGAGAGGACTATGCTTTGGCATGGCACACTTGGGCAATGTTGGCACTTTTCCCTAAGTGGGCAGAGACGTCAGGATCTGGCATTCCCTGGGGAATGGCCTCAGCTGCCCTTTGGCTCCTGCACACCCTCCTCTGCTGCAGCCTCCATGGGCTCTGATCCTGTGCTGCTCCTTGCACCCTCCTCCCTCCTCACGGACTCCAGCAGATTGAATTTAAGAAGGGTTGAATTTAAACTTCAAAAAGATGGAAGTGCCTTCTATCTCCTTACTGATCTGGATTTCCCCTCTTCTCCCAAAGTGGAGAAGAAAAAGGGCCCAGCTGACAGGGAGCAGTTGGCTTGATGGACAAGAGGCCATCAAAGTGCAGCCTGGGCTAAAGCAGTTGGACTGAAAAAACCTCCCTTCACTGCATAGTAGAGCAATATTTTGAGAGCCATCTTTTGTTGTCTAGTGACTTAACAGACCTATGGAGCAACAGTTAAGAGGCTGTTCTTTACTCCCACTGCAAAGTGACTGAATGTATTGCTCTGTTTTTTGAGGGGTAGACCTGTTCTCCTTTTCTAGGTGGGTAGACCTGGTCTCCTTTTTCTAAGGGTAGACCTGGTCTCCTTTTTCTATGGGTAGACCTGTTCCCTTTTTCCTATGGGTAGACCTGTTCTCCTTTTCTAGGTGGGTAGACCTGGTCTCCTTTTTCTATGGGTAGACCTGTTCCCCTTTTTCTATGGGTAGACCTGTTCTCCATTTTTTTCAATGGGTAGACCTGTTCTCCTTCTTCTATGGGAAGACCTGTTCTCCTTTTTCTATGGGTAGACCTGGTCTCCTTTTCGAGGTGGGTAGACCTGGTCTCCTTTTTCTATGGGTAGTCCTGTTCTCTTTTTCGGGGTGGGTAGACCTGGTCTCCTTTTTCTATGGGTAGACCTGGTCTCCTTTTTTCAAAGGGTAGACCTGGTCTCCTTTTTCTATGGGTAGACCTGGTCTCCTTTTTCTATGGGTAGACCTGGTCTCCTTTTTCTATGGGTAGACCTGGTCTCCTTTTTCTATGGGTAGACCTGGTCTCCTTTTTCTATGGGTAGACCTGGTCTCCTTTTTTCAATGGGTAGACCTGGTCTCCTTTTTCTATGGGTAGACCTGTTCCCCTTTTTCTATGGGTAGACCTGTTCTCCTTTTTTTCAATGGGTAGACCTGGTCTCCTTTTTCTATGGGTAGACCTGGTCTCCTTTTTTCAATGGGTAGACCTGGTCTCCTTTTTTTGACGGGTAGACCTGGTCTCCTTTTTTTGACGGGTAGACCTGGTCTCCCTTATTTTGACGGGTAGACCTGGTCTCCCTTTTTTGACGGGTAGACCTGGTCTCTTTTTGCTCAGTGTCGCCGTCTTGTGGTTACCCTTGGGACTGCACCTCTGCAGGCCAAAAGGGACATCTTTTGGGGAGGGAATGGACACTTTGGGGGCAAAAACCAGACCAATCGCTGCTGGACACCTAGCAAATTCCCAGCCTGGACAAAAGGCATTTCAAAACACACCTGGAAAATCAGTAGCTTTTCTGCCCATTGCTCCCTTCATCTTTTCCCTACTTTCTGCTTTTTGGAGAGGACTATGCTTTGGCATGGCACACTTGGGCAATGTTGGCACTTTTCCCTAAGTGGGCAGAGACGTCAGGATCTGGCATTCCCTGGGGAATGGCCTCAGCTGCCCTTTGGCTCCTGCACACCCTCCTCTGCTGCAGCCTCCATGGGCTCTCATCCTGTGCTGCTCCTTGCACCCTCCTCCCTCCTCACGGACTCCAGCAGATTGAATTTAAGAAGGGTTGAATTTAAACTTCAAAAAGATGGAAGTGCCTTCTATCTCCTTACTGATCTCTATTTCCCCTCTTCTCCCAAAGTGGAGAAGAAAAAGGGCCCAGCTGACAGGGAGCTGTTGGCTTGATGGACAAGAGGCCATCAAAGTGCAGCCTGGGCTAAAGTAGTTGGACTGGAAAAACCTTCCGTCACTGCATAGTAGAGCAATATTTTGAGAGCCATCTTTTGTTGTCTAGTGACTTAACAGACCTATGGAGCAACAGTTAAGAGGCTGTTCTTTACTCCCACTGCAAAGTGACTGAATGTATTCCCCTTTTTAGAAAGTGAATTTAACAAATACCAGCAGGTCTTGTGCAGAGAGAAAACAAAACTCCCTAGTTTTAGTAGCAAAACTCTCAGTGGAAACTGTAGTCTGCTTACAGCAGTAAGCTTCCCCCAGCAGTTTCAGCTGCCTGCCTTTGTAGCCCAGCCCCAAAGGAGAAACTCCTCTCGACTGCTCCTGAGAGAGGCAATTCACTGGAACTTTTGGTGCTCAGGAAAGCTAGTCCCTCCCCTAAGTCCTGGCTCACCTGCCCGAGCACCTAGAGTGCTTATAACCCACCTCGCTCCCTGCTTTGCATGTTCATATCCATAAAAGAAACCTCCAAGCTCTTCCTCCAGTCTGAACTGTATCTTCCCTGCATCCCCCCCAGTCCCTTACCTGTTCACGTGCGCTGCTCCCGAGCACATCCCTCGGCCCCTTCCTTGAGCGACGATCCAGGTACCTCAGGTGCTTGCCCCGGCGAGATGCCCTCACAATCACTGCTGGAGAGACTCCACAGAAAGGACTGCTCCTCTGCAGAAAATGTCCACCAAAACATGCTCCAGACCACCACCCAGCAGGGCCCACCCCTCATCATGCTCACTGGCCACACCCGAGGCTGTCCCGCCCCTGTTATCCTCGCTTCCCCCTCGTAGGGCTGTCCCGCCCCTCGTCATCCTCACTGGCCACACCTGAGGCTGTCTTGACCCTCGTCATCTTCGCGGGCCACAGCTGAGTCTGTCTCGCCCCTTGTCCTCCTCGCTGCCCCCTCGTGGGGCTGTCCCGCCCCTCGTCATCCTCGCTGCCCACCCGTGGGGCTGTCCCGCCCCTCGTCATCCTCCTGCCCACCCGTGGGGCTGTCCTGCCCCTCGTCATCCTCGCTGCCCACCCGTGGGGCTGTCCCTCACAGGGGGGGACAGAATGGCGGTTGGCCTCTCAGGCAGGCACGTGACTTGGGGGCGCGAGCCGCGGCCGGCGTGAGCCGGAAGCGGGACCGGCGCGAGCCGGGGGTGGTGGCGGCGCGAGCCGGGGGCGCGGGCAGAGGCGGCTCGAGCCGGGGGGCGGTGCGGGAACTGTAAACGGCCGGGAATGATTCATACACCCATCAAATCATTATTAGTCGGAGCCCCGTTCCCTCATCTCTGTCCTCGTTGCCAGTCCCGGGAGCCGAGCCAAGCCCCGAGGCGGCACCGCAGCCCCCCAGCCCCTCCCGCCGGACCCCGCACAGCTCCGGGTACAGCCGGTCCCGCGGCGTCCTCCAAGAGCACCGGGAGCAAGCTGAGGGAGAATGGCGCGGGGGAAGGGGGGCGGGACCGGGGGGTGGGGGAAAACCCGGACTGGATTTCTGCCGGAGTACGGAATGGGGGAAAACCCGGACTGGATTTTTCCCAGAGTTCGGAATGGGGGAAAACCCGGACTGGATTTTTCCAGAGTATGGAATGGATTTCAAAAAAAAATAAAGAAGAAAAAAGGAAAAAAAAAGAAGAGAAAAGGGAGAACCCGGACTGGATTTTTCCAGAGTACGGAATGGATTTCAAAAAAAAATAAAGAAGAAAAAAGGAAAAAAAAAGAAGAAAAAAGGGAGAAAGAAGAGAAAAGGGGAAGAAAGGGGAAAAAATGGGGAAAAAAGGGAAAAAGGAGGGAAAAAAGGAAAGAAAAAAGGAGGGAAAAAAGGAAAAAAATTAATTTGTCATAGGGACAAAGACAAGGCTTGGAGGGAATTGCAAGTTCTCTTCTGCATAGAGCATTTTGGATACATCCCAAAATTAAGTGAAGTTTATTGGTTTTGTGTGGTCAGTGAGGAACTGAGCAAAGGGCTGAATGCCTTTCTGTCCTTAGAAGAAGAACCCAATCCCAATCACATCCTTGTTCATCCCAGTCCCTTCCCAGTCCCCATCCCAATGCCACCCAAGTGCCCTCCATCCCATCCCAGTCCCCCCCAAGTGCCACCAGTGCCTCCAGTCCCCTCCCACTTCCCTCCTAGTTTCCCCTGCACCCCCAGTCCCTTCCTATTCTCCTCCCAGTGTCACTCCAAGTGCTCCCAGTGCCTCCCCAGTTCCCATACTGGTCACACTGGAGTCGTTCCCATTGCTAATTCAACCCTGACAGGTAGACCTGTTCTCCTTTTGATGGGTAGACCTGTTCTGTTTTTTTTGATGGGTAGACCTGGTCTCCTTTTTTTGACGGGTAGACCTGGTCTCCCTTTTTTGACGGGTAGACCTGGTCTCTTTTTGCTCAGTGTCGCCGTCTTGTGGTTACCCTTGGGACTGCACCTCTGCAGGCCAAAAGGGACATCTTTTGGGGAGGGAATGGACAGTTTGGGGGCAAAAACCAGACCAATCGCTGCTGGACACCTAGCAAATTCCCAGCCTGGACAAAAGGCATTTCAAAACACACCTGCCAAATCACCAGCTTTTCTGCCCATTGCTCCCTTCATCTTTTCCCTACTTTCTGCTTTTTGGAGAGGACTATGCTTTGGCATGGCACACTTGTGCAATGTTGGCACTTTTCCCTAAGTGGGCACAGACGTCAGGATCTGGCATTCCCTGGGGAATGGCCTCAGCTGCCCTTTGGCTCCTGCACACCCTCCTCTGCTGCAGCCTCCATGGGCTCTGATCCTGTGCTGCTCCTTGCACCCTCCTCCCTCCTCACGGACTCCAGCAGATTGAATTTAAGAAGGGTTGAATTTAAACTTCAAAAAGATGGAAGTGCCTTCTATCTCCTTACTGATCTCTATTTCCCCTCTTCTCCCAAAGTGGAGAAGAAAAAGGGCCCAGCTGACAGGGAGCTGTTGGCTTGATGGACAAGAGGCCATCAAAGTGCAGCCTGGGCTAAAGCAGTTGGACTGAAAAAACCTCCCTTCACTGCATAGTAGAGCAATATTTTTAGAGCCATCTTTTGTTGTCTATGCCAATGGATTACATTTTTACCCAAAAATGTTTTCATTCCCATGCAGTAGGTTACCTCTTTAGCTAACAGTGTACAGCCTATGTGGGCTTTCCTGACAGAGCTCAATTAGGGAGTGCTGCCGTAAACTCCTCAGTCGCCAGTCTGATGAGAAGCAACTTCCAGCAAGCACTGGTACATATAATCTCCTAATGGCAAAGCAGTACTCTTGAGAAGACAGCTATCCTCTGCCTTAAGTTGGAGAGGGAATCATGTTTATAGCTGCTTTCAGTTTAACTTTAGAAGGCAAAACTAAAAAGTTTGGCTATGTTAAAACCTGTTGTACTATCATCTCCTTTTCCTTCCTGTTTTCTAAAGCTCATTAGAAGGGATCTTTTTTTCCACATATTTATCTCCACAAAGTTTCTATAATGGTATAACAGAATTGTGGCTAATTGCATCGTGTAAAACTAAGACAGCTGAGTTTTACCATTTGGGATATGGCTGCTTCTTGGTAGCATAAGCAAATAACAGATGTGCAGGAAGAAAGCATGACATGAAACAAATATTTATTAGAAAGGACTGTACAGACAAATTAAACAGTTACTCCCACAAAGCACAGGAGTAAAATATTTAAAACACAGAAGTCAATGAAAATACCAGATATTGCTAAAACACCTAAATTTTAAAATGAAAACCTATGCTCGAGGAATTTGAAAACTGCAAAATAAAGGAATAAAGCACTTTACAAAGTCCTAGTGAAGTCTTATTTTTTTAAAATAGTATGCTGTTTAGATAATACATCAATGTCTATTCTTTCAAATTTAGTTTCTGTAACTTGAAGCCACTGTCAGGTTAGGTCAGGTCATGTTTAGAAAATGAAAGTGGAATTCAGGAAGTGCAAGTATTAAAATTTGCCTTATATTTTCTCTGTAGTTAGTGGGGTCCTTGACACCAAAGTTTGAACAACTGATGTATCCCAGCTTGGGTATGAAAATTTCTACAACAAAGTATTCAGTCACAGTACAGTGTTCACCTCTTATCATGAGCTCATGGTGGTGGCAGGGTGAAAGCCTTGGGGGTTTTTTGTTTTTTATTTTGTTGTTTTGTGAGGGGTTTTTTGTGGTGTCTGGTTGCAGAGCAACATGACTATCATCTGAGGCAAGTGAGGAATCAGGAGGAAATCCTGGAAAACCATCTGTTCCAAGAGAATCCAGTTACTTTGCTGTCACTTTGATACCCATTTAAAAAAGCAATGACAAAGACAGGGTTAAAACAGATTTTAGTAAATATAAAAGTCTTGCAAGCTTTGTGGAGGGTGTCATTGTGACTATTCTGAGAATTGAACCCAAGTTAGAATAAATTTAAGCCAAGCAAAGAAGTACCTACAAAGACTTTAGCTACAAAGGAAGAGCAAAAATGCAGTAGAGCAAAAAAAATCCATGAAGCAAAAAAGCATTAGACTTGTGGTAGGAACTGTACTTCAGACAGCTTCCTCCTCTGTCTGAAAAAGAAGAAATCAATATTTCATAATTATTCCGCTAGTCTCTAGAGAAAGTTGCCTGGGAGAAAAGAGCCCAGAAGAAGAGCTCTTCACTTAAACTTACGTTATTATCATGTGAGAGAAAAGAATACTCTTGCCTTATGAAAGACACCACCTCCCTCCCTGCTCCCACCCCCATGATCCCTTCATACATCATGCCTATTCTGTCTCCTTGAAATAGGGTCATCTCACGTTTGAAGGGACCCATAAGGATCATCAGGTTCAATCCCCCACTCCTTGTAGGACTACCTGGCATCAAACTGTATGACTAAGAGTGCCATTCAGGTGCTCCTTGAACTCTTGACAGGCTTGGTGCCTTGACCACTTCCCTAGGTCACTGTACCAAGGACCAACCACTCTCCCAAAGAAGAGCCTTTTCCTAATGTCCAATCTGAACTTCCCCTAATGCAGCTTCATTCTATTTCCTCATGTCCTGTCGCTGGTCATAAAAGGGTGAAGATCAGCACCTGCTCCTCTGCTTCCTCCTTGAGGAAGCTGTAGGCTGTGATGAGGACACCCTCAAAACTGAAGCAGCCAAGTGACTTGAGTTGCTCCTCAGAGGTCTTGTCCTTGAGACCTTTAGCAATCGTGGTCACCCTCCTTCTCTGGAATACTGTAATGGTCTGATATCCTTCTTGCACTGAGGCATCCAAAACTGCACACAGTACTCAAGGCCTCACCAGTGCAGTCTAGAGTGAGACAATCAGCTCTCTCGATCAGCTGGCGATGCTGTGCCTGATGCACCCCAGGACACAGTTCGCCCTTTTGGCTGCCAGGGCTCTGCTGACTCATCTTCAGTTATGCTCATTTTCAGTAATGCATGCTATTCATACAGCAGAACTTTGTAAAGGATGTGCAAACAAATCTGTAAATACTAGTACATGATTGATGCAAACACAGTATGTCATATTCTTTTTAAAAAAAAAAAACCTAACCTTCTTAAACACAAGAGAACAAGAGACTAGTTTAAAAAAGAAAAAATACAAAACTGTTGTACTAAATCAGCAAGTTGTGTATCTTTTAAGCATACTTCAGTTTAGAGATCCTCCAAGAAAGAAAGAACCTGGTAAAGTAACAGTGAAGTGAAAGCAACTGTGACTAACCCTATCTATTTCAGAACTCTAAGTTACTACAAATCAATCCTTCTCTTCACACTACTTCATTGCAGACCATCTGCCCGCTCCATTGTCACTACTTCTTAAATTTATGTACAACTACCATCGAAGTATACTGCTCTCAAGCATGTACTTTTGGGAGTCCACGTACTTTTATCTTAGTGTATGTTTTCCCTTCAGCTTACTAAGAACTTCTCTGAACAGGGCACACAGCATATGACCAGTCTGACACTCAATAGCAGAATCCACTGTCTGTGCCATAAGACATGCATAATGCACTACTGCCATTTGGAGAATGGAGTCAGACTATCTTCCATTATTGCTATCTCAGAGAGACCAAATCCCAGTGATTCAGCTAGCAGAATCTGCTCTTCACATAATTTCAGGGGCATGTGGTCCACATTCTGTCTCTGCTGTTGAGAGATGTTCATATGGCTACAAAATATTAAAATAAGAGAATACCTCATGAACTTGATATAAGTTACAGGACTATATTCAATAAATCACTCGTGTACTTTGTGGCAGACTTGGGAAATTAATGATGGCATATGTGATTTGGCCAGTAAAATTGCATTATGTGGATTTATTATAGTTGCCAGTGCCCTGTTCTTCCCATTTAACAAGCCAAATTTTCAATATAACCACTCTAGCATAACAGTAGAGAAGAACTTGAGCTAAAGAGAGAAGAATGTGAACAAGCACAAGAATTGCCTCCTGACGTTAGTGAAAAGAAGACTTAATACTTGAGATCAATTTAGACAACAAAGATAGTGACAGAACTGGGATTGGAGATGAGTAAATTTTAAGCCCTGTTTCTGTACATGGGTCACTGTCATCCACCCCATTGGAGGAACTTGTTGCATTAGGTGAAACAAAATGAACACATGGATACAGGGACGAGTCTACTCTGGGTAGTCAGGGTTGTTTAGGCACACACAGAGCAAGAAAAACACTGGCCTGAAGTAAAGCTTACATGCAAATGACTATTAAATGACACAAAAAATAGAAAGTTTTGGTTAAGGGAGGACGACGACATCAAAGCCCAGTGGTTCTGGTGAAATACATAATTTTTAGTTGACACTGTTCATTGTGCATGTTACTCTCCTATGTTCCTGTGGAGGATAAGTCTGCCAAGGGAGAATTTGGCTGTACAAGCCAGGAAGACAGCAGAATGACTGATGCAGCAGTCTGCGCACGCAGAGATCTGGGATATTTCATGCAAGTTCCCTAGGGAACCACAATGTGCAGGTTGGCCATAGAGCCTAGGAGGACCTCTTATGCAGTTAATTTGTGCCTTGTTCTTAAGTCAGTTGTCTTTTGACTGCTGAAAATAATAACCTATTAAGATGTTGAAGCATGACAAATCGCATAATTTTAGAAATTCATACATAGCCATCAACTTTCCCAGTTTCAAGTCAAGTTTCAGGGAATGGTACAATCAAACTCCAGTAAATCAAACTTCATGTGTGCCCTCAATGCATTGATTTTCTGTATAACCAATCCTGTTTTCCCTAAACATTTCCTGTATAAATGAGTTCTACTGGATACCCAAACCTATGCAGTGTTACCAGCCTGGAAAATAAATTGTTTGTTTTTCAGTGAAACAATCAGACTGCTATTTCAGCACTTCTAATAGTCAGTCTCCTGTTATCAAGAGAAAACAGAAAAAAATTTTAGTAACATCTGGTTTTTAAAGAGAGAACGTAAAAGCATTTGTGGCCATCACATTTGGCCAATAGAAATAGCCAGACTTGCACAAAGAATTCCAGTTTATTTAGGAGTCCAAAAGATGGAACAACGGAAATGTTAAACTGTAGCACCATAATATTTACTTTCCTAAATCCAATTCCTAAGGACTGGAAGGAACTTAAGACAGAAGAGGAACATTGTGCTTACATTGCATTAAGTAGAATATAATGAGACGGTCATACTTGAGTCTGCACTTCAGTAAAGTCTAGGCGCATCTGCAGTTTTACTGGAAGATGACTGGAACAGGTCACACAGCTTGGCAATCTTTTGATTTCATTCATCCTGTTTCCTCTTGGGTTTTTTGGGATTCCGGGATCGGCTCTTTGCTTTGCAGAGTGGACATATGGGTGCATTCCGATGAATTTGTTGGTGGCACGATAAACATGCCTGAAATACAACATTGCAGCCTCTTGTTACAAACATTTAAGTGGCGTTGTTACATGAATTATTGAGTACCATATTCTAAGTCACAGTACAGGCAAAAATAAGTCCTCTTGCCTTCAAAGGCAAACCACTGCTACATTCTATACAATCTAGGTATCTAGATTGTACAGTAATTTCAGGCCAAGTGAAAAATTGGAGTACTTAATTGAATTAAAACTACAATTCTGCAGACATATGGTTCATACATCTATCAATAAATTCTGTTTTGTGTTAAATGTTCCAATGAGGTGTTTACATGCATAACAGTTCATTGAGTCTGAGAAGTTACAGTGAAGTCCAATTGTGATGTCACAGAATCTAAGGCAGGAGCAAGTGATAAGATAAATTCCATGTATTTAACATAAGGTACAGAACTCTGCCTTTTTGCTCCATACTAAGCCCTTTAATTTCCATTTGACTGAAGCATAATTACTTGCAGAAAGGCTTTTCAACTGCCTAACCACAGATAGTAAGTACATTATGGAACGTACCAACATCAGTTTGCCTACTTAGTCAGTGATTCTTTGGAACCTTGTAAGTACATTATGGAATGTACCAACATCAGTTTGCCTACTTAGTCAGTGATTCTTTGGACCTTGGCAGGATGAGTACCTCTATGGAATTACTTAGCTCTTCTTACTACAGAAGGAGCTGAGTAAAACTGTCACTTAAGTGCCTGAGGTTAGTTTAAGTTAACGTTAGTCTTGAAGATCCCAAATGCAGAAAAAAACACCTTTTCTGGTAACATGTACCATCAGTAATTTCCTTCATAAAATATGTGCATTGCTTTTAACTAACAGCTACTTGTTTTTCTCTTGCCAAGCTTTTTTTTCCTTCTTACATGACTTTCTCCCACGTGAAGCACGGGAGGAGTGGGAATTGCCTACATCTCTGCTGATGGAGACTCCTAAGTCATAAAAGATTCTTGTCCTTAACCCTTGATGACTGGTGCTACTACTTTAAGTCTGCTCGTTGTTCTTGATTTGAACTACTGCAGGGGAAATCAGAATCAGAGCACATAATTTTTCCTTTTTGCAAATACCAATCAACTTTATAAACATAATGTGTTCCAATAGCAAAAGAGAAAACCCAGTACATTTGTCTCCTGACCTTCATTGGAGGTGGTTGTTGTCTGAAAGTTGCTGTCTGTCTGGTATCTTGTTTTCTAGCCACTTGCAGCTGTTGGGCAGCTGCTGCAGCTGCAGCCAGAGACTCTGGGATGGGAGGCTCCTGTGGTTCTGTCTGCCATTCTGCCTTCTGCTTTTCAAAGTAGCTAGACGGAAGAATAACAAAGAAAAAATGTAACCGCCTTCTGGAGTATTTCATTAGTCTGTAAAGGATATTTTGTGTTAAAATGCAATGGATCACATTTCCCTATCATGTTCCTCTGGAGTCAAATTGCCTACACTTAAGACTAGTGCATAAATAGAATCGGTAGTATTTTTCTCTGCATTTGTACACTTCAGCCAGATTCCAGACTGTCAGCTTCTAAGGTATCTTGACATACAGCTGGATAAAAAATCTAGTCCAATCAAAAACAGACAACACATATATATTTAACAGCTTCAGATGCAACTCTATCAAACAGGTTTTCTGTTGTATTCGGTTAAAATGCATAACTTTTGTAGGCAGTAATTTAATACATTCTTTGTGGTGTCATGTTGTTTGGAATGTAAAACAACGCTTCTAAAGAAATACAAAGGAAATCTTGAAAACTGTGTGTCCGTGAAAATTATTTTAATTATGCTGGGCATTAAAAGAAATATAAGCTTCTTAAAACATCCCTTGCATTTAAAACTGATCTGTTAAACAAAGGACATTGTTCTTAGAATAGTAGCTAATTCTGTCACTCTCTCCCACCTAGTTTATACCTAAAAATGAAACTGTAATAACTGTAATTTATTATCCCAATCTTTTCCACAGCTTGGGTAAACTTACTTGTTGACAGTCTTAGGGTTAGGGTTAAATGCCATTGCCCTGAGTAGGCAGTGAAAAGTAAAATTCTGACTAGCAGCAGCACAAACTAACTGAAGAACACTTGTTTTTCATTCCTCTCTTGTATTGCCTCCTACTATTGCTTCCTAAACAGGGGGGAAAAAAAGTTGCTAGAAAATGCAACATACAGTACAAAAATCTAGACAGCCAACCACCCCTGAATTTTTGCATGTCATATGTAGACTTTGCAGCTTGGAATAATCTAAATTTACCTTGCAACAAGTTCAGACAATGTTATCCGATACGTCTTCCCACATCCCTTTTTTGTTAACTTTTGTTTTTCATGCTTACCTCTTGAGTTCTTTTTTCCACCTACCAACAAAAGTAAAATGAGAAAATGACCAGCAGAATTGAGAGAAAGTATAAAGCCAGATAATGTTTACTTTGGAGACTTACTCAAGGGACAGTTTCTCCTCCTCCTCACATAGATCCGGCAGCCTCTGCAATCCCAGAGTCATTCGCAAGGCATCTACGTGCTCCTTTAGGGGTTTGTACTCATCGTGCAGGCGACGAGTAGATTCCAAGAGCTTGTTAAGATCATTCTCAGACTGCTTGATAGTATTCTCCATCTGAAACAGGAGGACGGGCATGCTTGTAAAGAACTGTCCCTCTCTGAGCAAGAGACTGTATCAGAAAGAAGAGATTTTTTTCACTCAAGTTGGAAGAGATTGGAGACAATGCAATAGCAGAACAAACAGTTAAGGTATTGGGAGGACAAAAATTGGGCAAGGAAGAAGCAACAGAAAGTGACATATGAGATGCATTTTCATTTAAAAAAGGTGCACTCAACCTATATGACCTTCTGAACAATAGAAGAAGCAGGTAGACAGGCTACAGATAAAGTCAGCAAGTGAGGACTGATGGAAAACTCTCAGCAGACATTAAAAAAGGAATTAAGGTAGAACAAAACTAATTTTCTGTGTTTCTAAGATATCTGAACACCGACTGTCAGAAGTTATCAAACAAACCAAGGAAAAGTTCCTGTTTCTCTCACTGCAGTACATGGGAAAAGCAGCAGAGAAAAAGACAATCTGACTGGAAAAAGAAGAAAGAATGAAAATGAGGTTGAGGTTATGCAGCTGGATAGGGGAACAGACATTTCAAGATAAAGAAATGCAGTCTGCACATCCAGTATATACCTTGTACTTGTTTACAGTGTGGGAGCTTTTTTTCTCTCGTGCAAAGCAGAGATACCTGCAGAGCTAGAAACCACTAAGCAGACATGTAAGTGACCTAACATGACATAAAAAAATGCATATTTAAAAAGATATTCCCTACTTAGCCCCTCTAATTGGCTAATCTTTCCTGTTTATAAATTGTTTTCCTCTTCTTTGTATTAATTCCCTTCAGGCTGGTGCTTCTTGTTGTTTGGTGGTTTCACTCACTGATGAAGGTCAGTTCCTACTAAGAACTTAACAAATACCATGCATTTTCTCGAAATCTTTCTTCCCAAAAGCCCCCGTCAAAAGTCCCAGCTAGCTGCTAAAGTTTCTCTGTTTCTGGGTGCTCAGTGAGAAAAGCCTAACAGGAGGAACAGTTTTCTATGGCACTGCTGGAGTGATGTTACTGTGGATACTGGTAAACTCATAGCCACAATACGCTTGGTTATCTTTCCTCTTGGTGCAAGTGCTTACTATGCCAACATTACAAAATATCCTGCCCAACACAGGAAAAAAACAATTACCCTGAAGTAAATTTACTTTGCATTCTGTAGGATCCTAGGATGGTGTTGTAAAGTCCAGATTATTGAACCAGTGATGGTTCACTGATGTGCACAATTCCACAGCCTGTGGAATGATTCATATGCCACTGTGTCTTAGATTGTCTGCAGCTGGACTGTTGCATACCACATTAATATCAGCGTGGATCAGTCGCAGCTCCTCCACATGGGCCATCTTCTCTTGCAGCAGCAGGTCCATTTCCTGTTTATATTCCTTCAGGTGTCTCTCCTCAGACTCCAGAGCTTCAAATTCTGCTTTCAGTCGTGCCTTTATTTTTTCCATCTGCAAAGTCTTATTCCTGAATCCCAGTGGTAATTAAAAATAGAGAGACAACAGAAAGTCACTGAAACATATTTTTGTGAGGTGTCACTTTATATGTGATTAGATAGATGGAAGAAGGCACTAGCAGCAACAGACAAGGGTGAAACTATATATGTCTGAGAAAGAAACGAGAATACTGAATTCTAATTCCAGCTCTTTTGCTGAGCTTTTCAATGCTATGAGAATTCTTGTACTGAATTGTGAAATTAATAGAACGTTGTCAGATTTTAGCAGTTACTGTAGATTCAGAGAATTTGTACCAATAGCATTCTACTGCGTCAGTTGACCCTAGTTCCAAAAGAGAGGAATGCAGAAAATGTAGGTTAAGCACAGGATTATGAGACATGAAAAACGAACTGTAGATAGAATTCAAGTATGTAGCTACAACATCGTATAATTTAATGTCATTGGAGTTGTTGTGTCATTTACTACACAATGACATATACGAGTCTGATTGTAAATATTGAACTTAAACCAGTAAAAAGAGATCCTCTCTACCTTCCACTTTACATGTGGCAATATTCCACTAACCTAACATCTACCCTTGTTTTTATAAAATGTCATTTATTTAGTAACGGCATCTTTGATTATTGAAACTGTGAGTATTTGTCCCCGATTTATTTCCTGTTTCCTCTCCTGTATTTATAACATGTGTTCACCTAAAGACAATGGAAATACATTTATTTCCTCATTGTTACTAGTCACTGGTGCCATACTCTGCCAGATTGCTACAACAAATGAGTTGCAGGGGCTTGTTTAAGCCCAAAAGATTAGCTTTTGACATTAGGAAAGAAAAAGTACACACAAATGACAACTCTTCCTGTTAGCATCAGGCAACAAGCAATAATTTTAAAAACAGGAACCATAAGTGTGATTTCTAGACTGCCTAATGAATTTTGCCCTCATATTTTTTCCCTTCTATTTAAGTTCTCACAGTGTATTGATGACAGTAGTCACTAAGTGTGTCCCAATAGGGCATTAAACAGTGAAACTAGCATCTCTCATCAATATATCCATTCTCATTCTCTTTTAGCTCCTCCCAATCAGAACACTGAGTCTTTAGGCATTTGTTTAATTTTATGACTGGGGTTATTTCTGTGGAAGCATTTAATGCATATAAATAAGTATTTGCATATATGTTTGGATTGTGGATATGAAACACATTTACTGAAAACAGTATTCCCTTGACTACAAATTATATGTATTTATCTATAGATATAGCTATGGATATAGATCTTCAAAATCAGATCCCAGATTCAGAATCAGATTCCTTAATCCCTTCAAAAACCCAGCTAAGCTGCCTTTAATAGGAGATGGAGATGAATGAGCCTAGGAGCAGGCAAGTTCTTTGATTTTGATTGTAAAGACTTTTTTTCCTGTCTGTAGAATACATGGAAAGCAGAACAAAATAAAGTGCTAAATCTATCAAAGGTGAGTCTGTAAACGTAAGAAATTCTCATGTTTATTTTGAAGAAAATTCTTCACAGAATGCAAGCTCCTTTTAAAAGATTCGAGGATGAATAAATAGGTTAATTTGATCAGATTTTGTCAAAGGTGACTCAAAATGGACATCAATATTACAAATAGGATTGACTTTTTAACATTTGATTTTTTGTTATTTAATAACTTTCTTGATACTTCCTTGTACACTAAAGCTAGTAACATCACCTTTACACTACCTTATGCCACAAAGTAATCACAAAAATCTGTTAATTGCAGTTTATATATCACCTTTGAATATACTATCAGAAAACTGAGTGCACTGTGAATTTTCAAATAGAGGATATCACTCTGAAAAAAATAATTTAAATGAAGTGTTACAATAATTGGACCACAAACTGTAGCAGGCCATACCTAGATCAGTATTTTAAAACAGAGCCTGCCTAACGGTTGAGTAGATAAGCATTCCTCTTACCCTGTAAAGTATTTGTTGTCATATCTCTTTCTACAAATAATTTGGGGACTCCAGACAAATATCTTTGCTTCATCTTTGTTCACCTTTGTGCTATTGTGCAAAGAAGGCTGAGGCCTATATTCTGGTGCCTAATTCACTTTTTCCATGCGTAAAGTGTACTTCTTAGAGATGCTGTTACCAGCCAGAAGTCTCTGTGACCACCTGCACATACTGCCGGTGGTAAAGCCTTCATCCCTAGCCCTCTCTCCTCTCTCCCTGATAGCCCCTCTCCAGTCATCATGTCCCAAAACACTTCTCATCACCCTGAGGTTACCCACAGTCAGCATGCCTTCCACCTCCCTTTCTTTCTACTTTCTCTCTACTTTTAAAACTTTTTTTTCCCTACTTTTCTCCTTTTCTCTCTACTTTCAAAATCACTGCAGTGTGTTTTGGCTTTTGGATGCATGAATTCCTAGGCAATTCAGGCCTAATACTCAAAATCTGTGCCCTTAGGTAAAGAGTGGCAATGCCCTACCTAAAGCTATAAAAAATGTCCCCAGTGCGGGAACACGTGGTACCATGCCTGGCTGTTTAGGATCCCCCTCTTCCACAGCATCCTGTGACTCCTCCTGCGAAGGACGCTGTATACAAATTCCTGGTGTATCGCCTTGCACGAACCGCAGAGCGAGGCAAGTGGCTGGAGGGAACGGTAGAAAAGCCTCGGTCCGCTGCTCCCCATCCCCAGCGCCCCGGGGCGGCGGCCAAAAGCAGCAGGTAGGAAGATCACTCCAGGCCTCTCCTGGCAGTCTCCACGCCCTCGGGCGAGCGGGAGCTCAAGGCAGGGCAGAGAGAAGCTGCCAAGGTTCAGCTGCTCCCTTTCGTCCCCCGCACGGATCCGTCGCATGGATGCCCGGCGGGCAGAGCTGACCCCAACACCGCCCGTCGGGGGGGTGAGCGGCTGCCCCGCTCCGTGGGTTCCGCCGGTGCCCACAGTGCTGCCCGGCCCGGCCCTGTCCGGGGGCACGTCCGTCCTGGGCTTTCGGTGTTAGACTCTGCTTTCCGTGCCATGCCCCTCCTTTCGCAGCCCGTCAAGGCTCCTGCCCAGGCGTCCGGGCAAGATTCAAGACAGAGCCTCAGGAATATTAAATAATAAGTCAAAGGACTTAAAAACAAACAAACAAACGCCCACATCGCCCGCGACCCGACATCACTCTCCCGAGCTGCTCAGTTCTTCCCATCATTCCGCCTTCTCATCACTCAGGGAAATTTCTCTGGAAATGCACGACCGTTAACGTCCTTCATACGCATTCCAGTGTTAATTACCAGCAACAGATGCTCCTTCCCTGATTAGAAAAATCTATTTTGAGCTCTCATTGTAAACCCAACGGTAGTTTTCTTTCCCTCAGTAGCACAATAGCTAGTTTCAGATTGATGCAAGTCCTCCGCTCCCCCGAGGGAAAAGCTGCTTCATGGAACTGATGAGGCACAAAGCAAACATACCTGATCTCCTTAATGCTCTCGAGTTTGCACATTATTTCTTGCTCATCTGCCATGCTTTTCACTCCCGATTTAAATCTCCCGTGAAATGCAAAAAATGCCAAGGGAAAAGTAAAAAAAAAAAAAAAAAAAAAAAGAAAAAAAAAAAAGAAACAAAAAGAAAAACATACAATAGACACAATGTGGTCACCCCCTCCTCGCATATGGGCTCTGAGCCTGTGCAGGAGACTCTAGTGGGAGATATGGGAATTAGAGTCCAGCTTCCTATTGCTGCCGAGGCAGAGAGCCTGAAGAAAGACTACAACACCCACAAGGCAGAGCAGAGCGTGCCTGCCCTTCTTCCTGCATCTACGTTTTAAATCAATTTGTCACACCTCATTATGTCAAAGGTTGTTAGGGGTGCAAAAAGAGGAGAAGGCTTCTTTTTGAGATATGTGCAATGTTTAGCTTGTCATTAAAATAGCGACTAAAAGACTGTTGAATGGGTTCATGATTTTGATTAAAAACTTGGACATAAAGGTAAGACGTAGTCATTGTTACTACCATGCTGTTTTGTATTGGATGCTCTCAGTGATGCAACTATTCGGAGTTCAGAAAATATGTATTTTGTTCTTTAGGGTTTTCCTTTTTGTTTCTGCTACTATACATAGTACTTAAATGATTAAAAAACAAACAAACAAACAAATCAAAATAGAAAAAACCTAAATAAACCTAATGCAAATAAAACGGTTAGATTGAGGAAAGTGACTACTTGTCTTTCTACAGACATTCTAGCCAAGAATAACAGAGCATTCTATAGAGCTTGTTGAATAGACCTTCAGTCTTTGTTTAGCCAAGTAAATATTCCTCTTTGCCTTCTGGATGCTCCTGACTTCGCCCATTATTTCTTGCTCATCTGCCATACTTTTCACTCCTGATTTAAACCTCCCAGAGAAGGACCTCTCACCAGGAGTCACTTAGAATAAAAAAGGGTGGGCAGTCAGGATGGTTTGTCTGGAGAAGGGATACGGCCTGAGACTGGAGTGGCAGCAGAGAGGAAAGCAGGCACACAGATCTGAAAATAAAGCTAATTTGGAATTTCTGTCTGTCTGTCCAAGGATTCAAAGGGTAAACTCCAATTTATCTGTAAATAGTTCTACTTCTCCTAATTTATTTAAAAGAAACTGAGGTGTGTTCTCATTCAGTCACTGATGCATTTACATCAAATATTGTCCAGAACTTTCCCATTTATTAGGAGCCATGATGAAGAATCACAGTCTTCTCTTGTGTACTCAGTGGAGCTGAAACTAACCTACAATGAAAATATCATTTGCTACCTTTGGAAATTACAACCCTAGTCTGAAAGAAATACAGGAAACCTACTGACAAACCAGACACAAAAGTGAAAGCATAAAAGAAAAATGGAAAATATTCTGTGAAACAAAAGAGATTTAGGCCTGAAGGGAATATGATGGCTAACATTCCCTCTGTCTTCTCTTGAATTCTTGTCAAGAAGGAAAAATAGCTTAAATTCCAGAATTCTGATACCAGACTCATCTCCAAAGAACTGTTGCTGGTCTGTAAGTTCTATACCTTGCCCTGCTTGCCTAATGATGATGTTTAAGCAAACCTCTTGTAACTGAGGCAGCAAGTGTTTATCAGTGAGATTTTCTTTCTCCTACACAAAATTACATTGAGTGATCAATGTAATGTAATGCAGATCAGCCCCTGTCCCAAGCAGAGTGAGAAGCTGAAACTCCCCAGAGAAGCAGTTGCACCCTTTTTTGGTTTTTTTTCTGCTTTCACCAATCACAGGAAGTAAATGACACAATAAAGCACGCCCATCATAAAAACTCTTCAGCACTGAAGGATGACATCGGAAACAGCACACCACAGCTTTCTGCTAATTTTTCCCTTGTGAGAATAGCTTTAGTCATCTTTTTAAATGTTTTTAATTCCTAATGAAGTAAATGGGAATTTGGAGTGAATGTAGACTACACTACCAGACTCCATTTCTTTATAAAATTGTGTGTTTTAACAGCAAATATTAGTTTTCATTAAGCACAGATCCGCAGGGTTGTGTGTATGTGTGTGTGTGTCCCTTTGGTTTATCTGTCCTCCAACCTGTTCTTTACTATTCTCTCGTTCTCAGTGGCAGTCTTTTTTCTCTTAAGTGCTTTTACTGCTGCTTCTATTTATCATGTTTTCTTTTGTGCTGCTTTGGAGCAGGGACCCCGTTTTTGTATACACTTGTGAAGTAATATAAACTTGCACAAAGTTATGAAGCCAACATCAATCTCAGAAACTAATGCCATATATTACTGCCATACTTGGTAACTGAACTCACATAATCTACATAAAATAGCTGGTTCTGAGCTAAAAATGCATCTTGTAAACTCCTCATATGCCACAGTCCACAACATTTTACATGGAAGATTTGTCCAGTGTTATGAACTCGAGGTGTTGATAATCACCCTTATCAGTTTTCTACCCACGTTTGAGTTTTTTTTCCCCCTCAGGGAAATTGCAAACTGAAGCTGTGGAGAGGCTTCGATGAGGGTGCTGGACTTGGAAGAAATAAAAAAAATAGAGAACCTGCTTCAGAGCTGAGCTGCTGTGACTGAGATTTGAGGCAGGGAAGTTCCTAATAGATGGAATAGACAGCCCCAAACTGAGATTCCTAAATAGTCATAGTTAGGGAAAATAGCTATAGTGGTTTTTGCATGTCCTGTCTTGCACTCTATTATCTTAACCATAATGAAGATAAATCCCTTGGTGAATTACTTTTGACCAGCCACTGGGGCACCTGGGTTAATCCAGAATGTGAAGCAAGCCACATTTTTTCAAAGATTAACAGTGGATAGTCTAATTACTTTTTAATACTTCATTAGTCAATATGCTTTTTGAAAAATGGTTTTCATGAGAGCAGAGGTGTCAGCTCTGAGACCATGTGAGCTGTAGGTAGTTAGTATCTCTACCCAATGGGGTCTTCCCTGTCATGAACTTCAACACATTAGTGCCTAAAGCCTTAAGCTACGGATCAGGATCCCTTGATAATTAGCACTGTAGAAGTCTGAGGACAAAATAATTTACCTAAATATCGGGCTGGAAATGAGAGAATGAAGAAAAAAATATGAGCACTTTGGACATCAGAGAAGCAATGGCTGAGGTTGACTTAAAACCTGGGCAAGTGGCAGTAGTGATCAAATATTTCCTCTCAGACAAAAGTTTATTAGTGTTGATAATCCATTTATCCTTAATTAGAATTAACACTTAATAGCTAAAGATGACTTGCACAAAACATTTACCTTCTTTTCCTATCAATTCCATTAAATAAGAAATTAAGAAATAAATTGAAGGTTCAAGCATTATAAAAATTACTTCAGTCTCTTACGCACCTTCAAAGTAACGATTTTGAGGATTAAACAAATCCAATTTTTGCTGTTTTCTGGAACAGACAGTGAATAAGCAGCAGTTGAGAATGGGAGATGTTTAAGTTATTTTCTCTGTTATTTAAGGACTTTGGCCTGTGTTGCTGTGTTTTTCAGTTAAAGGAAGTTAAAGGAAGATGAAAGAAAATGGTGATAGGCATGAGCAGCCTCTTCATCATGCCACAGTTTTTGTAAAGAAATCAAAACTTAAAAAGGCTGATCCACATATAATTTGAGTCAATTGCAAACTCTTGTTGCCTTAAAAATTGAAGACTGTCAGATTGAGCACTAAGTGAGCTGTGTGCTCAGAGAGGGCAAGCTTCTTTGATGCATGACTTAAATAGATGAACTAATTGGTTTGAGGGAGTAGAAGACAAGTTAGCTATAGTCAGCCAGTGAATCTTGATGCTAAGACAGTAAGGGAATGAGAGCTAGTAGGGTGAGGATATGGGAGGGAGTGAAGGAAAGTGCCCTCAAACAGGAGGGCAGCGTACTTTTGCACTGTTTATCCTGTTTATCCTATTTTTTAATTTCTGGTTTTACATGCTAAACTAAAAGGTTGAGGAAAGAAAATGAAAATGGAAATTCAACTTGTTACTTTACTCTGCTTTGAATGACATAAAGAAAACCCCTCCATGGTGTTATACCTTAGCTGGAAGTTGTTAGGAAGTAAACCTACCCACGAGCATTAACAATTCTTTTTCTATCCATGTTTAAAAAAAGGACAGAAAAATATTACATTTCCATATTTCAAAGTGGTCACAAAGTTTGATACTTGCAGTTCAAGCACAGACAAATTGTTACCGT